CCACCTTTGCCTCCGCTTTGTGGTTTCCATTTTCGTCAGACTTTCAATGAAAACGAAGCAGTGCTGTGGTCATGGCCCTGCAATTATGACTCCACACACAACTTCATTTGCAACCACCATTTCCTCCCCAAAATGAGGCCACTTTTGGCCTCAGCTGCTGCAGAGCCAGCTTGAAAAGTGTTTCTCTTTAAGAAGCGACAGGGATGAGCTCAACCACCAAGAGGAATTCCTCAGAAAGCTCACCTGAGCTCCCAAAACTCCAGCAGCAGTGGAGCTGAATCTGCAGTCCTGCCATATGGATCTTTCCAAAAGGACCTTGCCCAACTGCTTCCCCAGGACACAGGGGGCGTGAAATCTGATTAATCCCCACACTTTCCCCACTGCAACATTCCAGCACAAACCAGGCACCTCTAATCAAATTCCACACTGCAACGTTCCCGCTTGGAAAAACCTGTGCTGTGTAGGTGTCTTTATCAACTTTATATAGAGTCAACACTTTTTAACTGGGCACAGCTCAGCTATTTGAAATTAAAGCTCTTTCTGAATGGAAATTACATCACTGAATGTACAGGAGCCTTGAATTTCACCTTTGGAGGCAGGTTTTGCCAAGCAGTTCAGGTAGTCTGTAAATCAGCTGTAGCCTCACCTTTTCCTTCACAGTCTCATCAGCGTAATTTCTAATTACTTCTAATTAAGGTATCAAATCTCCTCAAAGAAACCCTCCCCAGGCAACTTATTACTCTTAAAGCTCCAGCTTTAATAAAAAGGTGCCCTGGCCATAACCAGGAAAACAGAGAAATTAATTCCCACTACCGATATGGCAAAGTCTTTACAACGAAGTGCAGGCAGTGAGGCATCCCACTGTGAAAATAAGGCCATAAAGTCCCTGAACAAGAACACTTCCTTAAAAAAAAAAAAAACAAAACACCAAAAATAACTTGTACTTCTCATGGCTGTGCACAAAGTTTATGAAGCAGCAACAGTGTTCGCCTGAGGATGGTGCTTAGTGCAGCCATCTGAGCTCAGGGGCCCCGAGCTGATGTTAATCTCAGGGGAAAGCTGTGCCTTTCCTAGTGCTCTCCCAAGGGTTAGCAATGCTCTCCCCCATTCACACAGAATTGGGGAATGGTTTGGGTCGGAATGGACTTCAAAGATCAGCCAATTCCAACCTGCTGCCACGGGCAGGGACACCACCCACCAGCACGTGGCCACTCACCTTTCAGATCCTGGGAGGTTTTGGTCTGATCAACTCCTCCAAATAATCTCAAATTAGAGTTTAAATGGCGTAATCTTAAAGGCAGTGATCCCCTGGAACTCTGCCAAGAGCAGGAACGTTTCAGCTCTCTCAGTCTCTCACCGCCACTCTCACTCTCCATTAGAGATGACACTTCCCAGCCAACACGTTTAGTTGCATTAGGAGCTCAGCAAAACTATCACGGCTTCTTTCCAGCCACAAAAGGACCTTTCACAGCAACAATGGCTAAAAAAAACACCCAGCTGAAGTGGCAAATCTCTCCTCGTGCCCTGCAGGCAGATGAGTTGACCCGGGGCCAAGGAGGCAACCAGGGAAAACTCTGCAAATGAAACCAGGGAAATCACTGCAACTGCAACAGCAGAGGACGTGGAAGGAGGAGACACCAAGAGTCTCAAACGTTCCCAAGGCACAAAAGCTGAGGAAATTCCTTTGGATGGGCTGTATTAAGTGGAAGGTCGCTGGAGCTGGCTGTGCATAGCTGGCACAGTGAAAACCTGGTTCACCAGCAGAGGATCCTCCACCAGACGTGCCTTGGACAGGTCAACCCCAGCCCTGCTTCAGGAAGCAGCACACCTGGGGGGGTTGCCAGATCACCTTGACTCAATCCATCTCACAGCTATCAGCAATCACACACACCTCACAAGGTGCTATAACACAAGTCCAGCATGAGAAGGAGCCTTAAAATCCAGTGAGGGGCAAAAAAATCCTTGAAAAAAAATAAGCAGCTTGAACCCTGAGCTGTCACTTTCTGGCGACTTCTCTCGAACAGCCTTTCTGTTCTGTTCAGCTGCTGTGTCCTTGGACATCAGAGCAGGTTCACTTGGTGACTCCCCAGCACAGTTATCAGCCAGCCAGGAACTGCTGGTTTGCTCAGCAAACAGGACCTTCCGAGAGGTGCCAGCACCAGGAACGGTTACAAACGTGCCCCCACTCCCTCCACCTACACCAGCACTCCCAGCAAACCCTGCTCCAGGTTTCTGGGAAGGGAGTAAACCGCCTTAGAGCAACAAAGCAGATGAAAAGGAGCAAAACTGAAGGAGAACGGCACCACTGGTGACACGGAAAAGGCGCATTAAGGAGAAATGTTAACACTGGGCCATAAAAACAGAACAAAAAAAAAATGCTTTGCAAAGGTTTTAAGGTTTCAAAGGTAGCTATGGGTGAGCCCCAGGTGTTAGAAACCTTCACAGCCTGTTGTACAGTGACCAGAGGAAGTGTTTGTGCAGATGAGCCTGACCTACAGTGACAGGTTTACTAAAGGAAAACTTGGGTCTGCAACAGAAGTGGCACTGAGGAAGAGTCCTGCTGTAAAAAGGACCTGAAGCTCGATCCAATCCAGCTTTGCTCAGTAAATGAATGCTGCCAGGACTGGGAGGCATCCTTCCCCTCTGCCACAGCTCCCAGCTGGATGGATGATGTCACTCATTTGAAGGCCACAGAAGGTGTTTATCAGCCAGCTTTGAGGTTTGCCTATAAATAGAGATTTCCTAAATGACTTAATCCGAGGAACACTTCAATTCACAAAGAGGTGCCCACAAAAAAAAAAAAAAAAAAAAAATCAGTGTTTAGCTACACAACAGCTTCCCAGGAGCACAGGAGCTGTGAAACACCCACACAGCACCCAACACAAACTTACAGCAGCTTTCAGAGGGACTCCAGCCCACAGCTTTGCATTCTCCCCATCCCAACAGCCAGCAATGACACGCAGAAAGCTGCAGGAGCTCTGCCAGCTCTCAGGGATCGAAGTAACTGTAAATTTATTTGCTGGAACCTGTACCTGCACCTCTCTGCAGCCTCTCCTGTCCCTCTGGATGGGTCGGGGAGCTCCAGGGAAAGGCAGCTCATGGACCAGGAAGCTCAGACCACTCAGCCATAACACAATCCTACTTCCATCCCAGTTTCAGCAACCAACAGGAATGGAAAGACTGGTTTTAACTGCCCTCCCCATCATTGTGGCTTCCTTTCAGCCTTGTGTTAGGTCTGGTATTAACTATCCTGCTGCAGAGTCAAGCTCTGAGGAGCTTTTACTACAGAAATAACTAATGAGGTCTCCAATTGCTTTATTTGCAGCAGAGGACCCACCACAGAGAACCAGAACTTCCCTCAGGTCTTATGTAGAGTATTTGGGATAAAAATCAGCTTTTCATCAGGGAAAACAACCTGGTCTGCTGGAAGGGGGGGTTGGAATGAGATGATCTTTAAAATCCCTTCCAGCCCAGGCCATTCTATGATCTGTGGGAGCCAACGGAAAGAACAGGCTTCCCACAAAAATTAACAGCATGGGAAGCCCCCCAGTAGCAAACCCCCCCTGACCAGGAACAGCCCTGGAACCCCAAAATACCCCTGTGCAGAAGGTAATTAAAGCTGTGGTTCCACAGGCTCTGCCTCTCTTGGCACCAGGCAGATCTCGTGGAGCAGCTGACCCCGGTCAAAACCAGCCTGGTGCAGAAGCAGCTGGTTTGAATCCAGCCCAGTTCCCCAATTCGTTTGTCACATGGGCCACAAAGCAGTTGCTGGAGAATAAGGGAAGGCAGTGAACACCCAGGACCTGCTCAGCATTTTGGGGTGTTTACACAGCTGCAGCCCCAAGCAGGGCTCCGACAGCCTGTCCTTACGGGGAAGGGGTAGAAAGGCATCAAGTGAGGCTTCCCAGCACCAAAGAGGCTGAAACCATCAGATCCTGCCCACTCCTCTGTTCCTCTTCCCGTAGCAAACACCCCAGGGAAGGTGCCACCCTCATCTCTCCACGCTGAGCCAGTTCAATCATCAAGCCATAAGAGTCTATCCTACATATCCTCAGAGAACAAAATCCCTGTGACAAAAGAGGATTTTTTTTACTCTTATTTATTAAGTTATTTGAGATCTCTGCTACAAAACTACTCTTAAACTCTTTCAATACACTCATGATCAACCTGAAGCACCAGCAGACCCCAAGGCACCAGGATTTGCCAGCCCCAGATTTTGAAATGAGCAGGACCTTGCTGATCATAACCCAAGGCCGAGCAGGGACCCGGGAATTCCAGTTCAACCAGTTCCACCCTTTCTACCCCTCTGTTCCTCCCCCCTTTTTCTTGGAACAACAAACAGCAACAAAACCCTGCCCCAATCTGCACCGGAATAAACAATTCCCCGCGATGAAAAGCCACCTGCTCCCCCCACACAATTAAAAGCACTTCCAAATTCCAGCTCTTCCCTCAGCCAGCGCAGATGGACACACCAGGCACGCACAGACACCACTCTGCTCCCAGCACAGCCTTTGTGCTGCTCAGACACAAAGCCTGATGGCAGAGCTGTTTTGTTAAGGGATCACAACATAAACCAGCAATTCTCCAGCCACAAAAACAGCTCAAACTCCCTCCCAGGCCAATTAAATTGCAATCTGCTAAAACACACAGGCTCTCTGTGGCTTTTGGGGACCGCGGCTCTCACTGCTGGCAGATCACACCCCGAGATCCAACTGATTCATCACCTGCCCCACGTGTCCCCAGATGACTACATTTAACGTGCAATGGCTCAGGTTTTCACTTTCCTGCACACCCTGCAGGAAGGAAATAACCCCTCTGCAGAGGAAGCCATCGCCCCGAGAGCAGGCAATGAACCGCTGAAAGGGGAACTGATCCCTCGCTCCTCCAGGACCTGCCCACTAATCCCTCCAGCCTGCAGGGATTTAGGGTAGCCCTGGATTCACAGCAGGAACAGGGCTGGCAAATGGAGGCCTGGCCACCAGAGACTGCTGAATACTCACACAGATCCTGCTGCTGCCTTTGCCAAGACACAAAATCGCTGCCCTGCAATGCACACTGAGCTCAACAAGCACCAGACACCAGAACCTCCTTCCCTGCTTGTGGTTCCTATGCTGTTTAGCAAGTCTGGCCATCTGCAGAACGCTTCCATTTGGAGCTGGCTATCCACAGGATGGATTCCTGCCGTGGTTAATCATTCTCCCAGCAGACTTGAGGCAGATCTGGTGTCCCACAGCTCCCAGTCCCTCCCAGAAGCTGTGGGCTGGCACAGCCCTCGTGTCCCCAGACAGCACTGCCCTGGTGCCACCCACCCTTCCTCCCTCCCTCCTGGGGAAGTGCTCCCATTGCCCAACACCAATTCTCCCAGTCCCTCAAGTGCACTGGGATCTCTCTATCCACAAGATCCATCCTATCAGGGCAGCTCAGGAACTGTATCTGTCAGCTTTTGGCTTTCAGCTCAGCTTTCTTTGAAGACAAATGCTAATATCCTTTTTTTTTAAAAAAAAAAAAAAAAACAAATCTGATCCAAACCGAGACTCATCACTGGTATGAATCACACAGCATTATTAATTCTCCTGCCCGTCAAAACAGAAATGTCTCACCTTGCAAAACAATTGCTGTGGTTGCCCGGGCTCACAAAAATCTGTCCCATCTGTTAAAAAGCTGAGTGCACTGAATGAAACTATTTGACAAGCACTCTGCTGAAAGGCAGCAAACATTTCACCCCACAAAGGCTACTTCAAACCCAGACAGCGATTACAGGCAGCTCAGCTCCTTTCCTATCAGCCAGCACAAACACAGCCTTCCAGCAAGGAATTCTTTTTGAAGACAGAGCCTGTGGGGACACCGAGTTCAAGGATCAAGCCTGCAACTCCACCAAACCAGGTTTGGATGATCTCACGCCCCAAACTGCTACAATCAAAAGGCAAGGAGCAAAGCGTTCCTGCCTCCAACAGTGTAACAGAAAAGGCAAATAAACCAAGATCTCCACTTTTTACCTGCACGGTCTGTGCAACAGGCAAAGCTTCTCCGATCTCCAAATGCAAGGGACACCCACACCAACACAGGAATCATTCCCCATGGAGGGGGAGACACGAACAACACCCACAGAGCCGAGCAGTGCCGACATCCACCGCTCCAGCTCCTCGTGCACCGCATTCCCAACCGCCTTAAGTGCTGGATTTTGAACAGCAGGTTCACCCCCACACACGGTTCACCCCAGGGACACGGGCAAAAGTCATCGTGCTGCTGCTGAGCCCCACGCACACAAAGTCAAGCACAAGAGTTTTGAGCCAACACCTCCCTGACAGACTCTTGGCAATGGGCATGCTCCCCTCTGTTCAATGCAGATACAAATCCATTCCCAGCAGATCCCTGTTTCAGCTGCCCTCGCTGTCACAAGCACGTCATGTGCCACATCAGAACCAGAATTCTGGACCAGGCAGCTTTATTTGCTTTTAAAGTGCTCACGCTCAAAACAGGGCAAGGATGAACAGGGGGGACAATCGGTGCAGGCAAACAACCAGCTGTCACACTTCCCCAAGAGGAGCCCCTAAAAGCAGCTTCAGACAAGGGTTTGTTGAGGCCCAACCCCTCAGCAGCACCATCAGCCATCCCAGAGGACCCTCATCCCACCGAGGGATCCATCAGATAGCTCCCTGCTCCAGGATCAACGTTATTCTCCGAGTTCAAGAACGCACTGATATTTTTATAGGACACCAGAGCAAGATGACATGTGGCTCTAAATCCACACAGAAACACCATCCACCACATTATCTTGATGATGCAAATCAAACCCCTTGCTGCTGGCACTAAGAATGAAGGCTCCAACAGCTTCCTGCAGCAAAGTCACCTTGGAAATACCAAAGAATCTGAGCTTTCAGTAGGACAGAACTAAACCACCCCAGTAAGGAGTGTCCCAATAACTTCTGAGCCATCAGATAATGTCAGACCCTGAGGGAAGGGTTTGTGGAGAGCACAGGAGGACTCAAATCAGCTACAGTCACAAGTTCTGTTATCTTAACTGGTGATCAAAAGGTAGCAAGATGAACATCCACACCAACATGAGGAATCCTGCTCTGCATTTATTCCCCAGTGCAGCCACACAGCACCCCACAAACCAACCCAGGGCAACGCCATAATACTAAAAATAATACTACTATTGAAAATAACACTAAAAAAAAGCAAGAGCTGCTCCAGTCCTCGTTTCACGCACCACAAACTGCAGGACATCCTTCAATATTACCCCCCTGTAAAACTGACTCTGCTCAGCAAAACACGGGAATGAATCGGCCGCAACATTCACCGGGAGCGAACTCCACCCTCTCATTAAAGGTTTCACTGCTATAGAAACTGTGATTAAACACACAGAGCCATGAATCAGCCACCTGAAACAAGGGTACGCCTCAGCGGGCACAGCAGAGCTGGCATTTCGCCTCCCCCAGCCCCCCAAAAAACTGCAGCCTCGCGCAAATAAACAGCTTTTTATCCCCACGCTTCGGCTCCCACAGACATTTCACCTTCCTTACCTTCGGGGTTGGGTTTGGTTTGGGGGCTCCCCTGCTTTTGCTGCCCACGCCCCGTTACAGGAACAGCAAACAGGCTCCAAAATCCATTTTGCCACAACTGGATAAAGCACCCAAAAGCCAAGCCCCCTGGTGCCTCTGGACCAGCTGTGCCCCTGCACTGCAATTCCAATCAAGCCTGCGGAAAAAGCAGGAGGAAGATGGCAGGGCTTACCAGCAGTTCCCCAGTCTGGTCCCTGAACAAAGTGGATTTAAAAGAGGTTTAATTTTCCCAGAGACTAATGCTCTCAAATCGGAATAAATCCTCCAAAAGAAGAGATTATCCATAAATTTACTAGTTAGAAATGTTAATATATCCAGTGTTTATGCAAGGACTGCTGCTCTCCATGCAAGAGTAGCACCTATAGAATTCCACATTAAAGGAGACACAGATTTCTGGGAGTTTCTGCCCCACCTCCCTTTCCATGCTGAAATGTAGCACAGCAGCTTTATAAATCCCACTTCCCAAGAGCAGCAGGAATTTGCTGCAGAATCGAGGCAAACTTGTTCCCATTTCACTGGAGAAGCACTTGGAAAAAACCTCCCTTGCAAAAGAACTTAATACAAAAAAAAACCCCACAAAAAACCAAAACAACAAAACCAAGATCCACGAGCAGAAAAGCCCCAGTGTGAAACCTGAATAAAGGCTTTAAAAACCTGCAGAGCTAAAACTTCACAGAATACAGGACGAGGTGCAAATGAAGAAACAACTCCTTGAACCCCACGCTGGACTTACCCAACACATCCCTGCTGCTCAAATGCTTCCTCCTGTTATTCATATTCCATTTACTGAAGGTCCCACCTACACACGTAGTAGGATGGGACCCAGACCAGTAGAACCTGCTAATTGTGGCCCTTAAGGCTGAGATGAATTAATTTGTCCCTCCAGCTACAAACAGAAGGGTGACTACACCCTCACTAAGCACTAATCTTGGAGAGGATAGACAGGAGGATGAAACAAGGAAAAAGTGACTTGCCTGACATCAAACACCACGGCAGCAACATAGCTGGGAGCTAAATCAGGCCTCCTGTCCACACAAACATCCTTATTTTCCCTGGACTCACAGCTGACAGGTGGAGAGAACCCAGTCATTAACACACAGATTGAAGGCTCCCTTTGGAAGCTGGAAGCAGGTGAGGGACAGCCCTGATTAGTGTAATCACTGGTGTCAAATGGATTTGGGGGATCCTCAGAGCACCCCTTCACCCCACATCCCAGAGCCTGGTGTGCTCACACAGGTTTTGGGAAGGCTGACTCCACAGGTGGCCAGACAGCAACACACTCAGGACCAGCTCAATAAATTCATCCTGGAAATCCCATTTTTTTTTTCCACCAGGTGTATTCTGTGAGCCCACCAATACCCTCAGAGGAGCTGGATATTTAACACTCCCAAATAACAACCTCCCTGGGTGAGGGACAGAAGAATTTCAGGTATCAGCAACCGAGCAGTCCCTGCATTAACAAAGTTTTCCAGCCCAGGAACTTCCCTCCTCCAACAATTTATCCTCATAGTCAGGAAAAAAAAACCAAACCTATATTTATAAGACAAGTGAAATGGAACAATGATAACAAAAAAGCCCAGTTTTTATAATGTCAGGTATGGGTTTTTCCCTGGAGTTTCCCTGCTCTGCCTGTTCTGAGCCTATTAATTGCCTGCACTTTGCTCTGAACAGGTACAGAAAAGCCATCCCTAACTCCAAAACTAATGGGAAACAGCACAAGCCAAGACAGCCTGACCCACTCACCTGACACTTCCACCCAAAGGTGGATGTTGCTCTAAGAAGGTGCAGCTGAGCCAGGAGAAGTCCCATTTACACCCACCTGTAATCTCAGGGTTCCTGTCCATAATCATGGGACTGCATGCTAAAAACTGATTTGGAATTACAAGGCAAAAAAAATTCCATGACCTTGCTCCCCTCTGGGCCTGATGCACAGGCAGGAGGAACAGGATACAGAGCAAGTCAGGAGCAGGATAGAGGCACTAATTTGACTCTCAGCACAAGGTAAGTGAAGCTTCCATGACCCTACAGGGAATTGTGCCACTTCTCACCTGCTGCTGATCGAAACACGTACGGGAAGAAGGCTTTGCTTCTCATATTTGTTCTCTCTTCTGGCATCACACAAACACCTTTTATGGGGGAACAAACCTAACAAGAGTTGGACTCGATGCTGCTGATGGGTCCCTTCCAACTCAGCATATTTCTGATTCCATAACAGCCCTTTTCCTGCTCCTGCTGTTTCCCCACCTACCAGTAAATTACACCTGGTTTGGAACAGACACCGAACTTCATATCCACAACAATAAAAGCCCACATTTTCCAGCACAAAACTGACAGCTTTTCACTGCTTCAGTAATTATCATCCTCCTTCCTGGTCCCAGCTGATTAGGAGAACCTCGGCAGCACAAGGTCACTCCATCCAGGAGCACGGAGCAGGAATCCTGTGGATCCATCCAGATTCCTACTGTCAACAGAGCAGCTTTAGAAATGCATTCCCACAGAACCTGAGGCAGCCAGCAAAGACCAGCCCAAACCCTCCTGACCTTGATTCTATCCCAGTGAAGCCTCTCCTGCACTGGGATCCGAAGGCTGGCAGCTGACAGCTGTACCTGCAAACCCACTGCAGCAAACCAGCAAGAGCTTTCAGACAGCTCTGGAGAGGAGAGGGATCGA